CGCAGCCGCAACAGCAAGCCATCATCGCGGCGGCGTGCGGGTGTGCTGGATGGCGCTGCTGATGACGACGATGATGCCGCTGACAGTACTGCACAGCGAAGAGGAAGGGGTGATGGTGACGGCGATGGCGGTGGTGGTGACACGCGAGATGGCGAGCTGCATCACGCGCACGGACACGGGCACGTGTTGAGCTCAGAGGAACGAGCAGAGCAGCTGCGGCAGCGATCTGCAGAGACGGTGAGAGGCGCTCTTGCGGTGTTTGTTTGAGGGAGGACAGGTTGTTGTTGTTGTTGTTGTTTAAGTTGTTGTTGTTTAAGTTGTTGTTGTTTAAGTTGTTGTTGTTGTTGTTGTTGTTGTTGTTGTTTAAGTTGTTTAAGTTGTTTAAGTTGTTTAAGTTGTTGTTGTTGTTGTTGTTTCAGTTGTTGTTGTTGTTGTTGACACGTGCATGCACGATGAGCCTCTTCCGTTCGCATGAATTCAGTCATGCACATGAGCATGCGATGCAGCTCACGCACATGAACATGCAAATACACCCATTCTCTCACTCACGCAAACAAATCCACATGTTGTCTCACACAAACAAATCCCCAACCACACACACACACACACACACACACACACACACACACACTCACACGCACACACACACACACTCTCACACACACGCACACACACACATACACGCACTCGTATGCGCATGTGCAGCGATGGCATTTGCGGCGTCGCGTGTTCTCGGACATATCCGCGTTTGAACACATGTACGCAAAGGAGGAGGAGGAAGGCAGGCAGCAACGCATTCCACTGCCAACGCCAGATCACGAAGGTGAGGCAGAGTTGGGGAAGGGAGGGCGTGGCACGTGGTACGTGCTTGCCTGCATACATGCACGCATGCAGGCAGTGATCCCTGCTCACGTTTGTCACGTTGCTTCGAAAGTTAGCCTGTCACCGTCATGACACCACCACCGCCACCACTCAGCATCATGGCACCATCCTCACACCACCATCATCTTCACACGACGACGACCACCACCACCCCTGCCACCATCATCCTCACACCACCATCATCTTCACACGACGACGACCACCACCACCCCTGCCACCATCATCCTCACACCACCATCATCTTCCCACGACCACCACCACCACCAGCTGTGTTCCTGCGTGACCACGCGAGTGCACGTGAGCTGGATCGCCAGCGCCAGGACGAAGACGAGCGGTTGCGCGCGGCGGCCGAACGCGTCGGACAGGACCCGGACCTCGTGTACATCAACCCATACGACTACCTCCGCTCCATCCTCGCTGGCGGTCAGTCGTGGTGATGACGGAGGGGGGAAGGGGGGTGATTGGTGCTCGGGTGAAGGAGACAGAGAGAGGGGGGGGGGAGAGGATGACAAAGGCGGAGAGTCAGCAAGTTAGGCAGAGAGAGACACACACATGTGCGCGCGCAAACACACGCATGCAAACACACACACGCACTCATAAACACACACTCACACACATAAACACACACACTCTCTCTCATATACACACACAGACACGAGCGACGATGCCTTCGCCACGAGCACCGTCCCGACCGCGGCCGTCCGAGAAGCGCTGGAGACGATGGAGACGACCTACCACCTGCCCAGGTCCATCCTCGCTGCCCTCACACGCCAGCTGCTGCAGCACGCGCGCGACGGCACCGTGGTGGAGGTGGGCACGGGCCAGGTTGCACGCGCGCTTGCTGAGGAGCACGGTGTCTCCATCGTCACCATTATTCCGTCGTCGTTCGCGCGCGCGTATCTGTGGTCCATCCGGCACCTCGCTGCCGCTGTTCGCCCGATTGTGTGTGTTCAGGACGATATCGCCGCCTTTATCACCGACGCAGTCGACAACCCGCAGGTGCGCATGTGTGTGTGTGTGGGGGGGGGCAGGGGGAGATGTGAGTCGTGCGTGTGTGTGTGTGCGTTTGTGTGTGTGTGTGTGTGTTTGTGAGTGTGTGTGTGTGTGTGTGTTTGTGAGTGTGTGTGTGTGTGTGTGTTGTCGTTTGTGGCACTTTCCTTTCGTCACGTGCACGCTCATTGCACACATAACACACACACAACATATGACACACATAACACACACAACACACACACATAACACACACTTGACTGTTAGATGCACGTGTCTGCGATTGCGGTGAGCAATTTGGATCTGTTCACCGAAACGCATCTGCCGCACGAATTGGAGCTCCTCCTTGGCCACGCCCTCTTGCTGAGTCCGCGCTTGCTGCTGCCGCCTGCGTCCACCCCAGACGGACTGTCCTTCCTGTCCTATTGGTCCAGCCGCCACCAGCTACTGGCCCGTGCCATGCGCCTTGCACACGTCACCTCCTCCATCATGGATGTCGGTGGTGGCGTCCTCGAAACGCAGCTCACCCGGTGCGGCACATGGGCGTGTGTGTATGCGTGTGCTTGCGTGCTTATGTGTCTGTGTGTGCGTGCATATCCATGTGTGGATATGTGTGCATACCCATGTATGGATGTCTATGCGTGTGTGTGTGTGTCTCTCGCCCCTCTGTGTGTGTGTCTGTGTGTGTGTGTGTCTGTCTCTGTCTCTGTCTGTCTCTCTCTCTCGCATGTATTTGTGCATCTCTCAAGTCCCCTCTCTTCCGCCTGCTCACCCTTCTCTCCTTCCCATGCCCCATTGACCCCCCCCCCTTTCACCGTGCGAGCAGCGGAGTACGTCGCCTCGCTGCGGGCGTGTGCGCGTACATCTTGCGGATATTTCGGCCGCACCTCCAGGATGACTGGGACGACGTCGACGCTGTCTCGTGTCACATTGCGCGCACCTCAAACCCGGCCGAGCCAACGGTGAGTGAGCAGTGGCAGTGGCGCAGGTGGTGATGGTGGTTGTGGTGATGGTGGTTGTACCTTTGCTTGCCCCTTCATTGTCGTGGTGATCATGTACTTGTTTGATCACGTTTGCTTTGTACACACACACACACACACATACACACACACACACACACATGCACGCACACGCACACACACACACACAACCAACACATGACGCAACAGGTGTTGACGGTGCGAGAGCACATGGATGCACATGAGAGGACAACACAGAGCAGAAGTAACAAGAAGCAGCAACCACTCCAGCAAGGCAACGGAGAAGAGGAGGAAGACACGGCCGAGGCAGAGGAGGAGGATGATGATTACATCATGATGATGGGTGGGGTGCAATCGCAGCGTGACGATGATGACGTCAGTATCGGACACCTGGTCCGCATCACCCCACCCATGCCAGAGAAGAAGAGTGACCAGCAGCAGCAGCAGCAAGAGCAGGAACAGCAGCAAGATAGTGAGGTGGGGGCCGGTGGTGGTGACTCCAATGCTGACAATGGTGATGGCGAATATGGTGATGGTGGTGATGGCAATGGGGCAGCGGAGCAGAGTACAGGCAACCGCAACGCCGACAGCAACGCCAATAGCAACGCTGACAGCGACAAGTCAAGTGCATCGGCATCATCAACGTCACAGCCGCCAACACCGTCCCGCCCGCTCGTGCTGCGCATCCCGCTGTACCAAATCCCGTATCTCCCCGTGCACACGCTGGTGGAGATGGGGATGGAGGGCACAAGCAAGGCTGCGCTCTTCCGCGTCCTCAGCCTCGTGTTGCCTGCAAGCATCATTCTGCAGGACCTGGACCCCCTGGGCCACCCTAACGGCGTCGTTGCCGTCGCCAGCGTCGGCCCTGTCTTTGTTGACATTCCGCACACGTCGTTTGCCTTTCGCGGAACGGTGTGGTCGCAGGTTGCAGCGGCATCAGCAGCAGCAGGCATGCACACCCCTGGCCGCGGCGGCGGTGGTGGTGGTGGTGGTACCCACCGTGATGGTGCTCATGGTGATGGTGGTGATGGTGGTGGTGGTCACATTGCTGGTGGTGGTGGTGGTGGTGGCGGCGGTGGTGGTTTGGCTGGATGGATGCGGGGTGGGAGTGTTGACTACGAGTACGAGGGCGCAGCGAATGTCGAATTCGTGGACAGCGCAGACATGACTGCCCTGCTCGAACTGCAGAACAAAGATGGTGCTGATGGTGGTGACGGCACTGCTGACGATGCTGGTGCACAGACGCAGCAAGGAAGCGACAGCAGTGACAATGACCAACAGCTACAGGCGCAGCAGGAACAACAACAGCAGCAACAACAACAGCGGCCTTGGCAGCAGGCGTTTGGCGCTGGCAAAGATGGCGGAGGTGACGGTGTTGCCGCTGCTGATGATGATGAAGATGATGATCCCCAGGCGGCCCTGCGAGCAATGCGACGACGCTTGATTGAACGGGGACTAAAGCGTGGTAACAAGATACGCGATGGTCGTGCTGATGACGATGATGATGCACCACCACTGAGGAATGCGAACGCTGGTGCTGATGGCGGTGAAGACGGTGATGAGTATGACGAGTACCAGCACAGCCGACACGGCAGGCAGCTGCTTGTAAGCGACAGCGGCCTGACCAGCCACGGCCACGTGCAGAAGCGGTACGACGCGTTTTGGACGCTGATTCGCGACAGCATGAAACGCATTGCCCGCACATCGGCCGTCAGCGCGTTTGATGCGGACGCACGCGCCGGTCACGCGCGCCAGCAAAACGCGCTTCCGTTTGCACACGAGGCGTTTAACATCCAGGTCTATGGACGGGTAATGTCGCTGCTCGGCGTCAAGGTTGCCCGGTTCTGGAGCAACAGCACCGTGGTGGCGATTGTGCCCACCGTTGACAGCGCTCCGTTCTTCTCGCGCGTGATGAGCATGGTGCACTCGCTCCGGCTCTCCAACACGCACGTGGTCCCCGCCCACTTGGATGGGGCAACTGTCCTCTCGCTGTCCTCCGTCCCGCAGGCATTCAAGTTCCAATTCCTCGGGCGCGAAGTGTTTGAGCAGATTCCTGTGCTGGACAAGTCCTACCCGGCCTACCTTGGGCGCCTGCTCGCCATGGCGGAGCACACATACCTCGAGCCCGTCGACCCGCAGGTGTTGCTT